TTTTGTAAGTATTTTATTGCAATCACTGATATAAAATGAAAACATACCTTTGATTTCTTTATTTTCACACCATATCCTAATTTGTGTATTTTCATTTAATTCTTTAATTTATGGAAAGCTATTTATTGTTAAAATTTTCCTTTTTATAAATTTATTTTCATAGCTTTCAGATCCATTTGTCGTAATTATTAACAACTATTTCTTTTTAAACATCTTTACTCAAATTTATCTCTGTTAGGCAAGTCACAAGTTACAGACCAAGTCACATTTAATGTCAGCCTTGATAATTTCTGAAATTCTGAAATTTGTAAATTTATAGATTTTCAACATACATTAAATTTGTCTCCTTAAAAAACTGTTTATAGCACTGCAAGATCTATACAAATTTTTCCCAGTAAATTTGATTTTAGCATTAAGAAGTTCTTTAGCTGCTTGAAGTTCTTCAAGAATAGAGAGTGTTGCCTGATACATACAGTAAATGCAAATCCTTCTCATTAACCCAACTGCTTCCGTACATTTCTTTTTGATGCTATCATATTCATTTCTAGCACCCATGATTTTTTGGTTATTACCGTGTGTGTGTGTGTGTGTGTGTGTGTGTGTGTGTGTGTGTGTGTGTGTGTCTTCTCTTTTAATCGTCATTACTGCTCTACTACAAAATATATTACAAACTTTCCAATAGAGAAGCTGAGACTTTGAGGGTAAATCTTTCCAAAGCCACCTGGGTGGAGTTTCCTGGCTGTGTTCCCTTTAGCTACGTAATACTCAAACATCCATTTGATGACATTTGAGCCTTTAAGTATTCCTGACTCACAAACAATAGATGCTTAAAAGCAGCCACTGCTGACAAGCCTCAAATTGTCTTGACTCTTCTGGTATCCCTATTGCCTGAGTCTTTAAAGCCAATGTAAAACATTTAAGGCCAGTACAAAATGCATTTTCTCACTGTGGAAGAGAATAAACTCTACTAAAGTGAAACTGTTAACATTGGCAACCTATTGCCAGAAGTATTTAACTGCTTGAACTCATTGATATTGTTACTTCGTCTAATTCTAGCATCTTAGTTTTGATTGGCTGGTTGGTTGGTTGGTTGGTTGGTTGGTTGGTTGGTTGGTTGGTTTGCAGGTACAGGGGCTTTTATTAAAAATAGAACCATATCTGTGTTGTTGTTCATATTTTACAACTTTCCTCCTGATACATCTTTGAGATATGTGACAAGTGCTTAAAAGATGAGATGTCCAGGGAAAGGTGACGGGATGTGAGACCTGTGCAGGATCAGGCATCCACTACGCAAGGAGAGAAATTCCTTCTGTTTTCTTTCACTACTTTGTACTCTGTTCCCACACCATTACTGCAGAAATGGCCTGCATTTGGGAAAAATTAAGGCAATTTACAGGCTATGTCACTTTTCAATTCAAAGGAGATAAATAACAAAAACTGGAAATTACAACATAAAGTAAGATATTAGGGGAAAAGTATCTTTGCGATGCCGTTGTGGGAACATCGCCACAAATGCTCTTTGTGTAAGAGCACTATTCCTCCAAGAAATAAGTTTTGAGTTTCCAGAAGAATATTGACTATTAGCTATATAAAATTGAAATGCTATGAACCACCCTTTTAAAAAATATCCTCATGGTGCTGGCTTCGCAGTGTAGGGCGTAAATCTGCCACACACAGCATATAGGTGTTGGCTCATGTCTTGGCTGCTCCACTCTAAATCTGGATTTCAATCTCCACCTCTGGCTTTTGTGGAAAATTGGAGAGTGAACCAGTGGATGAAAGAGTCTGCTTCTCCCTCTCTCTACCCATAATTCTGACATTCAAATAAATAAATCTTTAAAATAAATATATATCACAATATTGATTCTGGGAACATTTAAACATAGCTAATTCAAAAAATATATATGTTTAAATGAATATCACATTCCTCATATTAATTTTCATGTATAACTAACATTTTTGAGTTTTTAATTCATGTAATCATGTTAATTTATGATTATATTCTCAGAGAAACATGACTATAATGAACTACAATCTTCACTGCTAAAACTAAAAGACAAATCATACTTTATGAACAGTGAAGAGCAAAGCACACTGGTTTCCTAGAGAAAAATATAAGTTGATTTTAAATTATTGCAGAGGAAAAAAGAGATGAGGGAGATTCAAGGGAGGGATTGAGAGAATGCAATAGGTGCATTGAGTATTAAATTCTGCTTTGTGGAAAATCCTACAGAGAACATCTCCTGAGTAACTAGTAATCATGGCTGCAAATGCCTTTTACTGCTTCTGTTAGAAATAGTCTGCTTTCCAATTTCATAGTATACTTCAAAATCTTCTAAGATAGACAGTAACTTAAGGTATTGTTACATACCTGCTTTCAAAGTGAGTTATTGGGTAATTTTTAAAGTTTAACCACAATTATTTTTTCAAATATTAATGCAGAAGTCTCTAGATTGAGGATATAATACCATTAGAATATGTACTGTATCTTTAACTTTAAAAATTCAATTGAATTAAATATGAAATTTCTTAATGCTCAGAATTGTAGCATATATTCCATTAGACGCTTTGATACCATCTCAATTATCTCATCTTTGAAAAACTGAATAGTTACAAGCAACACTTTTTCTTACTAGTTATGTAAACTTGGGTAGGTAGCTTACAGTTTCTATATCTTAATATCTTCACTTATTCAATTATTTCAGGAATTAAATCTAACATATTAGCACACAAAAGAACTCAAAAACAGGCTCTAAAAGAAGCAAATGTTAACAAAATAAGAAAGCAAAGAAAGGAAATATAAACCAGATTTTATTCATGTAAAAGAAACAGATCATATTAACAGTTTTTAACTCAGGGACTATTAGCACTGAAATTCATCTCTATGTCTTTCATTTACTGATCAATGATAGTGCCACAACAAGACACAGTTTGTTGTGATACAAAATAGACTGTGTTTTGGTCCTTTCAAAAATTATGCTTCAATAGCTTGATTCTATTTCTCAGAGTAAGTACATCACATAATCTAAGCAGAATACACATTAACTGTTGTATGCTGCGATAAGACTGGTTAGCATCTGGGAGAGGCCTTATAAAAGTGTTGACTAGTTTACTGTCAAAGTTTCTAATATTTTTAATTATTAAATCATTCATCCTTGGTTTCCACAAAAATAAAAAAACCCTAAATGAGGGAGTCAACTTATTAAGTCACTTAAATTTTATGAGTAATTCACCATGAAGTAGTAGTCCTCAATTTTTTTCTATGTAGAAATTACTTGATAAACTTGTCCAAACACAGGGATATTGGATCCCAAAGCTTTGAGTCTATTGACCTGGAGGAAGTTCAGACAACTTTATGGCTAAAAGTCTATAGGAGTTGCCAAAGCTGCATACCTGACATGACCCTTAGAAATCCACTGTCCTAGAGAATATAAAAAAAATTATATTGTTGAGTGTAATTATTTCTCCCCCAGGACTGAAATTTCTCCCAACCTAAATTGATGTCAAAAGTATAAAATATTAACATCCATCTTTCACTTATTCAAGAATTGGAATGGAAGCAAAACTTGTCTTTTGGAAGGAAAAGAAAATATCATGGATGCACCTATAGTATTTCTTTGATCCAATCCCCTGTAGTAAGCTTGTCCAATTTCCAAAGCAAGAACCATTGTTATTGCTTCTACAGAATTGGCTCTAAGTATCAGCAATGTAAGCTACACAGCTGACAAAATTTTCGCTTTCTGCCTTTTTCACTTCTTAGGAAGCTCAGTATCAAAACTTACGTCCCACTCCTAACAGGTGTACAACTCTCAGGCTATGTCTTTTATTCTAAAACTTTAGAGTTATCTTGGTTTGTTCTGAATTTATTTTCACTGAACACTCTTATCTTATTGCCAGGATTATGGAATGCATTGTGCATATTTTTTATCAATCTTTATTTTTGCTTCTTGAAATATAGCAGGATGAAAGCAGATTTGTGCTATCTAAAACCATATTTACAGGAATCCAAAAGGTTTGCATTAGTGGACCTTTGGGTCTCAGTCTTTATACTCCATAAAATAAATTAATGACAGACTTGAACATAATGGAAGCCTCCAGGCAGAAATACCAAAACATACAGATATTCCTTATGAAATTCAATTCAAGATAGTTATACCTCTGAAAATCCATGCCATCATAGAATTAATCTGTATAAATCCACTGTATTTTTCAACTTATTCATTTTTTCATTTTAGTGAAAAGTTTCTGGAAGTTTACATATCATCAAGTAAGATCAAAGCATTTTGCTTTTCTTAAATTTACCTCTGGCTATAGCCTGGGATAACTCCAGTAAATCAGAATTCTATGATGAACATTCTGTATTCATGTAGTTTGATAAAGAGATTGGTAGTTTGGAAATAAATGCTGATACAAGACTCTCTGCCTCCACTAGATTGTATAATTGAAGAAGCTAGCAACTGGCCTTACCTGCTACAATCACAATATGGCCTCTTAGACTTACATAATAGGTGTTTGACTTCTCTAACATACATAAAGTATAAATAATCCATGATCTGAATGATTAAATTATACAACAATCCTCTTTTGGAGAGCCCTTTGAATTCAGAGTAACAACTCATGAGTATGTACTTTTTGTTTCAATAGCTCAAGAATAAACCAGATTCCATTAAAACACTATCAAATGAGGAAATCTATGTTTAAGAAAATCACAAGATGACAGACTTAATTTCTAAACAATTCTGAGAGGTCTGAGGTTTTATCAGTGGAAAAATTTTCAAAGTTTTCATACCTATAAACTCTTATATTCAAAAATAACATGCTGTGTTAAAATCAATCCCTAACAACTGGTGTATAGACACATTTTAAGTTTTACATTTACTAATATTTTGGGGTTTTTGCTTTATGATTGTCTCTGACTAATCTGCATTCAATTGTTTTGAAATAGTCTAATGGTTTCATATGATTTTATTTTACAACTTTTAAAAAGAAAAATGTCTTGCCTTTGAATGGTAATCTTGTTCCAGTCTGGGATCTGATCCGGCTACCTGTTTGTATTTGTTAATTTTCATTTGGCGATTTCTCTCCTCTATATCCATAGCACCTATCGAGTAGAAAAAAACCCAAATAATTAATGTCCAATTCCTATTTTTGAGTCCTATGTACAAGATGTATAAAAGAAATGGTATGCTGACACATTATTTTACTCAAAATAGTTCACACAAACTAAATTGTCACACTACTTTTAATTTATTCAAAATATGCAATTTGGAAAACAAGTGTGATTATTAATATGTAAAATAATTTAAATATGAATAAAGTGCACACTGTTTTAAAGAGAAGACAACAAATCTTCATTTAATAGAAAACATTTTCCAGTACATTAATTCACAAGAATATCTTTGACACCACACACACTTTAAAAAGGCAATGTTATAAGATCTTTGCCATTTAATCCATCATGATTTAATTCATTTCGTAGTAATTAAGTTGTAAGTCTTATTATTTTTAATACTTTACTACTGCATGCAGAAAATATTTTCATAAAATAAAGCCATGGAGTAAAGCATGTTGGACCAGCATGTATTGGGAACTGCTTATCAGGAGCTTCTGAATTTGAATTCTCTACAATTAGAATCAAGAAAGAGGTTCTTGGAATAATCTGTCTGATATCAAACCAGGCCAATAGAGGCATAAAATACTGTTGAAATTAATTAAAGGGAGAAACAGAATGTAAGGAGGTGAAAAAATGAGAAGGTAGACCACACAAAAGTAATGACTTCTGAAACTGATTCTACCTCAAAACACATCAACTGCAGATATCAAGAGGTCTTTACAAGCTTCAGTTGGACCAAAATCAAATTCAGTTTGCAGATCCTAGCAAACACTGAAAGCATTTTAAGAGTGTATTTATTATTTTCATTAAACAATAATTTATAGGACATTTCTATTTCTCATAATATTTAATGGAAAAAACAAAATCCCAGCTATAAATAGAAATCCACACACTGAGAAAAATAAGCTTGGTGAATTCAAGTAAGTACTCATAATAAAATGTTGTAATGCAAACCTAGAAGCACTGTGTGTGTAAGAGTTTAAATAAATACTCGTTGCTTATGACTGTAACTTTAACTTTAACACTGCAGTAAATATAATGAGACAAAGTGTGCCTGTTAAATTAACAGGTGCTTTTTAATACTTACCTGATTTTAAAAACAGTATAAAGGATAAGGTGAATAAAATGTACCAGTGTAATTAGAAGTTACAGTATCCTCTCCTGGGCCAATATTTTAATTTTTATTGTTTTGATTTTTAAGTATTACACTCTTCACTGCAAAAAATGTCATCAGGCATCAGGTAATTCTTGTTAGTAAAAATTAATCAAAATAAAACAAAAAGGAAAGAAAAATGTTTCAGAAAAGAGAAAATCTTGGATAAAAGTACATACAAAGAGCTTACACTACAAAATCTCTAATACTCCAACATATTTAAATCAATTATTCATTAAAGTGACTGCAAACCATTCCTTAGTAGCTTTATTGTAATAATGACTAGACTAATTGACTCTGTTCCCAGCTTGAAAGTGAAAAGTACTCATATCAATGTAATATCAATTAAATTATAGATAAAACCCTGTGAATGCCTCGTGATATCAATGTGAAATATGCCACGAATAAATATCTATTAGTCTTAAAGCAAACTGCTTGAACCTCAAGAAATGTTCTCAAGTAAATTTTTATTGTCAACAATGTCAATCCATCACTAAAATCAATCCATCCCTAAAAAATACACGTATTAAAAGGATATTAGATGAGCGGGATTTTTTTAAAAGAAAACTTCAAGTGAATATCATAGTAGTATGTTAAATATATGTTGATAGCTTAAGAAGCTTAACCACATCTGCCAAGATATAGATCTAAAAATATATTCACATATAAGCAAATCACTTTTCCCAACATTCAGACATTTCTGGGGAAACAATCTCCCATGGAAGTTACTAAATTCTTGCTGATTATTAGCAGGAGGCAGATTACTTTAACATCATTTTTATTTCACAGGTAACTAGTTCTAAGTTTAAAAAGAATGTAGGCTGTATTTTATTTTTATTCATTTGAAATACCTTTCAAAGGAGGGAAACTGGCAGATAGAGCTATTTCATCCACTTGTTTGTATGACTAAACAAATTGGAAATGGAGTGATATAAATACTTATATGCATTATCCAAGTTCAAATCTTTCATCTCCAGTTCCAGCCCTCATCCATGGACAGATTCTGGCTTATGCAGGCAAACCAATGAAATTGCAATGCACTATTTTAGTTACCAAACTTGAATAAATATCCTCCTAATTTGTAACTTTGGTTTTCCTCTGAGAATTTTTGGGAAACAAACAGGTTCCTTCCAAAACTATTTGGTTCACACGAGCCTTCTATTGCTTTTTACATTTCTGGCCTACCCACACAAGTAAACAGACCACAATTTAACTAAGTAGCCATCTGTTTTGTGACAATTTCTCATGAAAATAAACACATGTATAACATCTTTTTTTATTAGTATATTCTTCATAAAACTAAAATATCCCTAATAGAATTTAAGGTTAGAAAAAAATTTATATAATTCATATCTTTAGCCAATATATTGCAAAATAATTATTAAACAGTTGCATTTACAAATGTATCCTAAATTATATCTTTTTTAAAGGTACATTTAAGTTTGTTTTTGGTTAAATTTAAGAACTAACAGTATTTCTACAATATGAGCTTTAATTAATAGTGGAGGTTTCCAAACAAAAACTGTTTCCTATTTCCTATTAAAGGTGTCTAAATAATAGATCACAAAAATAGACAAGGTATTGTTTGAACAAACCTAATTGGTTTTCAAGAAATGCATACAGATATGATAAATGTAATCAGAACATAAATCCAAATATTATATAGGCCCCTTCCTAATTGAGGATGAAGGAAGGTATTACTCTTCTTCAGTAAGAGAAACATTTAAAAATAATTATTTTATCAAACCATTAAGAGGAAATTTATTCTAACAATTTCTCTACTAAATTCCATTCTCTAAAGTTTTCTTCTTTTTTTAAAACTTTTCTTCTAATAAAATGTTAACAATGTAGAAGACATACAAAATAAAACAACAAAGACTAGCAATGGGAATGACAGAAATAACATTTTAAATGTGTAAAGTTAAAAGGGTCAAACCATGTACTTTCCAAATGTTAAATTTGCCATTTGAATATGTACCAAATGGAGCAGAATAAAGAGTTATCATTAATTAGTGTATACATCTAATTACCTTGAAAAAGACGACAATTACAGGTGAGAACACATGGGTATCTATTATCTAGATTCATGGAACACACAACACAAATAATAAGGATTTTTTTCAACAGATCACCATGTATAAAATGGTTGAAATGAATTTAACCACAATAGAGTTTGTGAAGTTTTGAAGCTATTCAGATTTAGGGTATGGAGGACAAATGAAATGTTAAAAACAACAATATTTTAAAAATAAGACACATAAGTTGAGTTTAAATCTTGACCTGACAAGCCCTGTGATTACAAATACTTCATTTCACTAATCTGAATATAAAATTTCCCTTCTATAAAATAGTTTGAGATAGCTGTCTTTTAGAAGCTCTTCCACCTTGTAACTGTCCGGTTAGTTGATTTGGACATTCAAATGATGTTTAAGTATTGTTTCATATTATCATAAACATTTCATAAATATACATAAAGTAAATGCTCTGGAAATTCTCAACCTGTCAGGTCTAGTATCATAAATATTCCCTTAATTTGTGTGTGTGTGTGTGTGTGTGTGTGTGTGTGTGTACAGAAGCAGAAGGAAACGAAATGAATTCAGAAGACAGACAGACAAGGAAAATAGAAAGGAGGGAGAGAGAACCTGATGTGACAATACAAATCAGGAACTTTGCCTAGGAAAAGGTCTATTTATATGGATCTTTTTTATATGTTATATCCATATAGTAGTATATAGATATCTATATATTAATATATCAAAAATCCATTATATATTTAAGGATCTTTTAGGTTATTGTTAAACTATAACACATTAAGGAGAAAATGCTACTAATTTTTTATTATTATAACTTTATAGTTACAATTCTGTGTCTTTGAAAAGCAAGCTGTAACTTCAAGGGTAAATCAGATGTTATGAAAGGCTCTCAGAGTGCAGCAGTTATTATTAAAATTGGTTGTATGAAAAAGTGCAACAATAATTGATGAAAGAAATAAACATGAGTCAAATTCATTTTTTATAACTACTTTGGAATCCACATTAAGACAGAGATAGTTCACTGTTCATGTTGATATCCATCTTACAGTATGCTTTGAGGGTCTTAATTATCATATACCACTGCATTTCACATCTGGGACCTAATTAACAGAGCCATAAAACATACTCTAAAAACATCAACTACATATCTCAAAACTATTTGCAATAATTTAAAGGAACATAATAAAAAAAATTTTGAGGTATATCTTGACATCTACCTATATTAAGAAATATTATTTAAATAAGCTTAAAATTATTGAGAATGCTCATTTAAAATCACACAGGAACAAAAATATTCATCATACAAAATTTAGACCTGTGCTGGAAATGAGATCCATATGCATGTATTTTCTTATATACATAAGCAATTGATGTAGTGGAGTAATCCTCGTGTTATTATTGAACATATGTTAGTGTCTGTAGTATAACAAAAATGACATTCTCACATCCCAACTCTTATTCACCCTTTTCATTGATACTGTAATTTTTAAAAACTTGTCTGATTCCCAATCATATGGTAAGATTTGGGAATTTTTAACTAGGCATTTTGCTTAATTATAGTGATATGTAAATACAGTCTGCAGATTCTACTATATCTGTAGAATTCTGAACAACTCAGAAAGATTATTTGCTCTGCATTGAAAATGAAAGAATGGTAGCTATCACCAAAATGTTTGATGTAAGTTTTGTGAGTCATGCAATTTACAAAAATGAAAACCTAAACAATGTAACTCCCTCCAAATTAATATACTCATATTCATTATTTTCATTCTGATTATTTCTAAACTTTCCATCTCAGGATT